ATCTGCTGCATATGGTTTTAGCCTTCCTCTCTGACCTTCTGTTCCTATGCAGACAACCCACCTCAAACTCTGGTGTACTTGAGATACAGTTCCAATACCTAAAAATTGAACATTTGCCTCTTGCAGGGGCCAAGGCTTTTGGGTTATAATAGTTACGTCAGCCTCAGTGTCTACCAAACTGATAATCACTTTATTATTCATTCTTACTTTTAACTGGGGCCTCTGATTCTTTAAAGAAGTTTGCCAAAATATGCGTTTTTTTGTCTCCTCCAGTCGTGTTCGATTCCTCCTCACTAGCCAAACTACCATCTAGAGTGGTATCATTCTTTACAACAGGCAGCGGATTATGTATTCATCCTGTGAGAGATTGTCCTCTATAGTGACTGGGAGTGACTGGACCTTTTTTGACATGAGGGCCTTCAAGAGTCCCCCAAAGGAGTTTCCCGATTGTAAAGGGTTTCCTTGTATGTCTTTGGTCGATCTACATTCATTGGTCCAGTGTCTGCCCTTAACACATCTTCTACATAATCCAAGAGGCGGAGGCCTTCTATTGAGACATTGCTGGACTTGCCATGCCTACAATTTCTTCTAATATGTCTGTCCTATTCTGCCGCAGTTCAAACATCTGGTATCCTGATGCCTTCTCGACCCTTTGGGGATTGTTCTTTCTACCCAAGCGTCTGTTTCAGTACAGTTAGAGCATCTGGCCTCTTGGTGTCTTTTTAGACCTTTGGAGATTGCTTCTTCTACCCAAGCTTCTGTGTCATCACAGTTAAGACATCTGACCTCTTGTTGTCTTTTTAAACCTTTGGAGATTGCCTCTCCTACCCCAGCTTCTGTGTGTTGGTCATTATACTTGAGATTAGCTGCATGCAAATCCCACTCTTCCAGTGGTACTGATCTGATCTTTAAAGACAAAAGTATCCTTTTGCATAGTCGATTCACATTTTCATAAGCTAGAGATTGTATGTGTATTTTTCTAGAGTCCGAATCTGCTACCTGTAACTCTACTGTCCTGGATAGTCTTTGTAAACATTCAGTGAACCGTTTTCTCGGTCCCTGTATTACCTTGGTATAGGGTTCTACTCTCTCCTGTTTCATGAACCTTGTCCCAAGCATTCAAGCCTGCTGTCTGGCATAAGGACAATGTGTGCTCATCATATGCAGCCTGAGTCTGTGGGTCAGCATAAAGACCCTCACCAAAAAGCTTATCTGGGGGAGCTTCATAAACTTTCTTTAAGCCTTGAAGCTCAACAGCTTTTACATCTTCCCTCCATAAAGCCCTCTATTATATTTGAGACAAATTTTCAAGTACAGCTGATATTAGGCATTTCCAATCTATAGGTGTTACTCTATTTAAGGTTGCCCATCATGTCAGCATTTCTTTGACATAAGGGCTATGGAGACCATATTCGACAATAGCTTCCTTAATTCCTTTTAAATCTTTTAGCTGTCTTGGTTCCCATTGATAGGCAACATGGCCAATTGGGTGTTTCTTTGATGGTGGTTTTTCTGACATAGTCGCTGGGAAGACCAATGGTGTACAAATAACAACCTTAGGAAGGTTTTCCCGATGTGTAATTGGTATAGGTGTATCAGATTCAGAAGAATCCGGTTGAAGGTCATATGTCCAAGGCTTGCTGTCTCCCTGAGCACCTGTACCTCCTGAATCATATAAGATTCTAAGGATTTCATAGAATCATTAATTTTTCTTGTTTCTTCATTTACATATGCTTCTAAGCCTTTAATATTCTCATCCTTAGATAGTATCTGAGTGGCATGTAAATTGCCTTCTAGAAATTCAAGTCTAGATTCCAGCTTTTGGTATGTAGTTATAGATTCATCAGACATAGAACGAGTTGCCTGTGCCAGTTCATTAATATTGTCTTGATTTTTCCCTATTTTGGTCATTAAGGCAGCAGACATAGAACAAATTCTGTTTTCTATTTGGCCATGAGTTTGTTCCAGTTGTGTTGCTAATGTAGCATGGTCAGATTTAATATCCCCAACCTCTTTTCATAACTGTTCCATGTCTTCCGTTTTAGAGATCAACTTTTCTTGGCTGTCTCTCATATCTCACACCAGTCTTCCTAAGCTATCAATGGTTTGTGCAGATTTCTCGTTTTCTGCTCTCTTAAGTTGTTCCCCTAGGGATATTACATGGGTTAGAAAGCTGACCACTATATGAAATATAGATATGTTACAGGCAAGTCATAAGCCTCCTGTAACATTGGATTCATGTAAGAAGCAAGAATATTCCCAATGGTCTGCATTGTAAGATTATCTGCCATTGTTATAGAATAATAAACCGTCGTTATTATTACCAGGTAAAATATAAGGCTTTACCTTTCTATGACTGTGCTGTTGATTCCAGCTCGCAGTAACTATGTTTGACCAGCAGGCGGCGCCGGTGGCAGGTTGTGGTGGCGCAGGTGTACCACAAAACAGAGTTCAGCTGCGGATGGTTGATTTGTTCTCAGAGCAGTCTGAAAAACGCTGAATGGCTTTCAGATCGAGTTAGAACGGGTGGAAGGGATGGGATTTTGTTAAAAAGGAAGGGTTTTGGAAACAGCAGAGCAGTAGCTGACTCTGGGTGCCGCATCTTGCCAGCCAGAGCTGCTGGCAAGAGTTGCCATAGTTGCTGGTAGAGGCTTGGCCGTCTCCTCTCTTGCGAGCCAGCGGCCGGGGAGACTGAGTGGCGATGAGCTCATGGCTGTTTCTAGAGTTGCGAAGCCGTGTGGTGCAGCCAGGTGGGAGGGGGAGGGGAAGAGTTCCCGAGGGCTGGTCTTGCTCAGCTCAGTACAAGCGGGGCAGCCTCATAGTGGCGGGTGTGCAGTTGAGCACCCACGGGTGCTCAGCAGCAGCAGGGGAGGCAGAGCGGTGCACGGAGCTTCTTCTGCAGCGAAGTGATGGGGAGTTCACCTCAGTTCGAGCAGTGGCAGGGGGAGGGGAAGACTTATTAGGCACCATGGGGCTGAGCGAAAAACCCGCTGGCTGGGTTAAATTTAGTCCCCCAGGTCCCGACCCACTGGTAGGTTCGAATTCTGACACCAGTTATAGATGGATACAAATGGAATACGAGATAGGTTATTAACTGGTAATTTATTGGGGAGTTATACTCACACGAGGAATCAGTAACTACTCGGAGAAGTCTGGTCCCAGAATGCTTCCCACTGCTGGCTCAACCCCGAGAGAGTGCGCCCTGCTCTCCTCCTTTTCTACCCCTCTTGCATACCTGTCACCATGCCCAAATGTGCGTGCGTGGTCATCGGTACAGATGTCAGGGTATCTTCCTTCACAAAACCATAGAGCTCAAAACATGCATCTCAGTGGTTATAGTTAGGGATTGTGTTTGGCTTTATTAGTACTTCAGATATAGTCTGGATTTTTTTAAAAATAGATTTCTTTTCAATTTTGTGTATTCATGTGTGTCTTCATGGGATTTTATTCATGTGAGGGCAGGGCCTGAGGACAGACTGTTGCAAACCCTGCAACTGGAGTTACATGTGGTTGTGATCCTCCTGACATGGATTCTAGGAACAAAACTTAGGTCTTTTATAAGAGCAATATATCTCTTAATTGTTTAATCATTTATCCAATTTCTAAATGTCTTTTTCCAATAAATGTAGTTTTTACTGTTTTTCTGCATGGTGTGTGTGTGTGTGTGTGTGTGTGTGTGTGTGTGTGTGTTTGTGTGTGTGATGCATATGTCATGGTAAGCATGGAGAGAGAGAACAGAGGAAAAGTTGGTAGTTGGTTCTCTCTACCTTTATGTGGATTGTAGGAATCAAGTTCAGATTGCCAGGCTGTACAGCAGGCATTTTACTCACTGAGCCATCTTGTCAGCTCCCTAGTCAGACTATTTTTTAGTAAATTTATCCTGAAGTTAGCTATGATGGTGGTAGATGCCTATAATTGCAGTACTTGGGAAGTACAGCAGGATTAGGGATCAGGTCAGTCTCAGCTGCATATTTAGTCTGGGCTGTAGGAGACTTGGTTCAAACAAACAAAGCAAACAAATTCATATGATATTTTGGTTGTAATCTTTTGCAGCAATAGTGAGCTGCTTGTTAATTTCTGTAGTCTTCTAAATGGTGATCCTATTGAGGAGTGCTATTTACCAGATCAGAATTTATTGGCAAAGTGCCTAAAGCTAAGTAGATGATTGGAACAATTACATTTTTTTCTTTCTGAGTCTTATTTGTTTTATGACACATTTATACATCTATTTATTGAGTTTGTGTTACTGGATTGAATACACACAGCATGAGTGTGGAGATCAGAGGACCACTTTCAAGAGTTGATTTTCTCCTACCATATGGGTCTCAGAGATTGCACTCAGATTGCCATGCCTAGCAGTAAGCACTTTTACCTGCTGAGTCATACTGGTCCTGAGTATAGGTGCTTTGGTTTATTTTTAATTTATTTATTTTAGGTGTGTGAGTGTTTTGCCTGTATGTGTGTGTACCATTTATGTGCCTGGTGCCTGTGGAAGTCCAAAAAGGATAACCAGAGTTATGGATAGTTGTGAGCCATGATGTGGGTGCTAGGAACAGAACCCAGGTCCTCTGCAAGAGCAATGAGCACTCTAACCATTGAATCATCTCCTCAGCTCCCCACCCCCAATCTAAGTTTTTAAACATAAATGTTGCTAATAATAGGAGCCCTTGAAGCCTTAGGATAATTAATTTTTAAGTTTTTATTTTTATTTATGTTTACAAGTGTTTGTGTGAATGTATTCTATGTGTATGGAGGTACCCACAGGGGCAGAAGAGGGCAGCTAATCACCAGGAGCTAGAGTTAGAGCCCAACATGGTTGCTGAAAACTTAACTCAGGTTCTCTGGAAGATCAGCCAGTGCTCTTAACTGCTTAGCATCTTTCTAGCCGATGTCATGCTTAGTGGTTTTTCACTCCCATCACCATTAGAAAGAGAAAGAGCTAATTATGATACTTGATTATTGATAGATAAGATTTGCTGATGAATGACCCTTATCTCCAGGAATGCAAGTAACAACATAGAAAGAGGAAAGATCACTGCTGGCCATTTATATGTATAAATTCGTAGACGTGTCCTTCAAATTCTGGAAGAGTGGTCCAGTATCTCATCATCATCTGTTCAGGATAGAAGCTATGAGTTTGTCCCACGGTAAGTCTTACTCATGTGTTGTATGCTTTTTGTACAGATGGAATAGGTGTGGGTGCTCTGGTTGCTGCCAGGTGAGGGATGTGTCTGTGGTTTGAATATGAAATTACCTGAATGACTTATGGGAACCTTTGGTTCCCAGCTTATAGTGTTGTTTGGAAAGGTTGTAGAACTTTCAGGAAGTGAGCTTTGCTGTAGGAAGTGGCTCAGTGTTGGGTGGGCCTTGAGGTTTTATAGCCCAACCCTACTTTCTGTTCATTCTTTGTTTCCTGATTGTTGATGCATTGTAACCAAACAACCTCCCTTTCCTGCTGCCATGGCTTCCCCTGCAGAGAGAGAAGATCCCCACTTGCCACTTATGTGTATAAACTGCCCAGATGCGTCCTTCAAATTCTTGAAGATAGTGTTCCAATATATCTTAAGGATTATATCTTCTTGAACTATAAGCCAAATAAAGTTGGTTTTCTATTTTTTAAAAAATTTATTTTTTATGTGTTTTGTGTGTGTATGTGTCTGTGGACCCATTTGTGCTTAGTGCCTGTGGAGGTCATAAAAGGGCATCAGATCTTCTGAAACTGGAATTATGGATGGTTATGAAATACTGTGTAGGTGCTAGGAACTAAACATAGGTCCTCTGTAAGAACAACAAGTGTTCTTAATAACTGAGCTCGCTCTCCAGCCCCAGAGTTGTTTCTTGTTGGGTATTTTTATCGTAGTAACAAGAAAAATAACTAATACGAATGGCTGAAGTTGGCAAGGGTTGCTGAAGTCTGTTTTATAAGCCACTTTGCTGATATATGTTCTTTGGTTATGGGTGCTACCTGATTTCATTCATGAGTTACTTCACCATTTGAAGGTCATAGGTCCTGTTGCTAGGGCTTATTGTTCTTTACTGTAAAATAAGACTGATATACTTGTCCTTATGGGTAGTGTGGCTTACCTTTCCAGTTTTCTGAGGGTTACTACTCTTGGCACTGTGTGCTAGTCCCATATGCAGATGAGATGAGGTGTGTGTGTGTGTGTGTGTGTGTGTGAGAGAGAGAGAGAGAGAGAGAGAGAGATCCTGTGTTGGATTTTATGGGAATTTTGAACTAGGATAGAATGAAATCCTTGTTTGTAAATGTGAGAATTATGGGTAACTCTGGTTTCTTTTTCTTTTTTCTTACTAGGTTTATTTTCTAGAGACCCAGGCTACTTTCATAATGAAAAGACAGAGATGGACAGGATGATGTCTGACTGCCTGAGAAGTAGTTACCAGGTGTGACTAAAGCATATCCTGTCATTACACCCATAAGGCTGACACATTTCCATGTAGGCAGACATTTTTCTCAGAGTTTCTGGAAGGAAATAGACCTTATTCAATGGCTGAGTGATTAGTTGTATTTCTTTATGACTATATCCTCTCAAACTGTAATCCAGAATAAGTCCTTTCTCCCCAAAGTTGCTTCTTGCCATATATTTTATCATATCAATCAGAAAAGTAAACTGTTATTATTGGTTTAGAATTATTGTGAAAATCATGCCAGTGTTTTCAGTAATTTCTAATTAATCTTCACCTCCATGACACTGATTGTGTTTTATTGTGTTCTAACAGTTGATAAAGGGATGAATATTCCCCTTTCTGAAAGATGTTGTTCACCTATCACCATTTATCAGGTTATGTAATGTTTTTAATGTGTTTAAGTAGAAGAATATAAGTGAGAAAGACTATCTGATCTGGTTTAGGTGAGATAATGGGATATGTCAAAAAAAAGGCATAAGTCTAAATCACAGGCCTTTAATTCCCAGCACTGGATAGGTAAAGGGCCAGCCAACCTGGCCAACCCTGTCTTTAAAATAAGGCATGAAAGTGAAAATTAATATTAGTGAGATGGACATAAAGAGTACCTGGGATATTCACTGAACTCTGGCATAGACTGCTGGAGAACGCCTCTTTTTAGCATTGAGTTTCCATCCCCAATCCCCTGTGACCTCGGATGGAGATGGTAGTTGGCTCAAATACAAGTGTGTGTGATTGCAGGAGTCAGTGACCTTTGCGGATGTGGCTATAGACTTCACCCAGGAGGAGTGGATTTTATTGGACACAAAACAAAGGAACCTGTACAGAGAGGTGATGCTGGAGAACTACCAGAACCTGGCCACATTAGGTGAGGTTCCCCCATTCCCTGTAGACTCCTACAGAACAAAAATGTGTACATTTTTCTAATTATATATTGTTATTTTATGGTGTGTGTGTGTGTGTGTGTGTGTGTGTGTGTGTGTGTGTGTATCGTAGTCCACATGTGGAGTTCAAAGGACAACTTTTGGAAGTCATCTCCTATCATGTTAGTTCTAGGGATGGAACTTGGCACCAAGCACCTTTACCTGCTGAGCCATCACACCTATGAATTTTCTGTGTTTTAGCATTGGTGATGCAGCTCTAAGGATAGTTGAAAAATAACAGGGCTAGAAAATAACAAAAGGCCAGGCATGGTGGTGTAGGCCTTTAATCCCAGTACTAGGGAGGCAGAGACAAGAGGATCACTGTGTATTTGAGCTTATCCTGGTCTACATAGCAAGCTCCAAAACAACCAGAACTATATAGACAGACTCTTGTCCCCAAAATAAAACAAAAAGCAAAAAACAGGAGGGGGGCGGCGGATGAGAAACAGAGGCTTCTAACTTTGCCCTATGTTTTAATCAATTGTGATGGGTTTTAAGACAGTCCTAAAATCACCAGTATTGCTATTCTGCTCTACTAAAAGGACATTTTCAGACTATCTTTGACAACTGAATCAGAAATACTTATGGTGTCCTGATCATCTCTGTTTTAATGGTCCCTCCACGTGATTCTGATGCACTGATATATTTAAATACTAGTGTAATTTTTTTCTCCATAGTAACAAAGATCTTGTGGATATGGTGGTACATGCCTTTCATCTTAGTACTCCCGGAAGTAGAGACAGGTATATCTGTGTGAGTTCAAGGCCAGTCTGGTCTGCAAAGCTTTAGAGCCACATAGTGGAGAAACCTGTCTCACATTTTTTTCTTTCACTTTCTTTTCTATTTGATTAATGTTGGTGCTTAATTTTCTGTTTACATTTATTTTTTGTTTGTCACTGTGCACATCTAACAGTCAGTAGACAGTTTGTTGGAGTCAGTTCTTTTCTTCTACCATGTCCCAGACATGTAAACCAGGTGTTCATGCTTAGTGTCAAGCACTTTTACCTGGTGACCCATCCCACTGGTCCAGTATTAGTGTTTTGTCTTGTCTTTGTAACCATCACTTTAGGCTTTAAGAGTAAGAAGTCAGTACCTATTGACACACATAAAAGGGCTATTTACATATTGGGGTCCTTAGCAGTGTTTCATTGTTATTGGAACTGTAGTTTCTAAGTCATGGGAAGGTAAACCCTTTCTTGCTTGATCTGCTCATTAGACCCAGATCAAGCTCTTGTTTGGAGGCAGAAGAGTTTAGAATAGTCAAGAGAGAAGTTTACCAAGATGATTATTTGGGAGTTCAGTCTATTTGGAATACATTAGGGACACCCCACCCCACCTTAATTCTGTGGATGGCATGGCAACTAAGCAAGTGCTCTACCACTGAGGTATATTACCAAGAGAGAAAATGTGAGTTAGGAAGTTGAGGCCATTGGACTTGAGAGTTTTAAGAGATCTTCACAACTTTAAACTCCATTAATTTCTTTCTACTTAGACTTTTTTTTACAACCTCAATAGTGCAGCTTTTTCTTTTCCTCCCTAATAATACTGTCTCTGTTTACCAGTGCATTTAAATTCCAGAATAAATTATTCTTTTCTAAATTTTGACTGCCAATTCTCTTGGTATTTTATGTCTATGTTATTATCACTATCATTATTATTATTGACTGCTGGACCCAGGGCCTCTTTTAAGAATATTTATTATTGTTTTAATTTTTATGTGTATGCCTATGGGCCTGTGCAAGTTCATGTGTGCCATGTGCATGCAGGTGCCTGTGGTGGCCAGAAGAAGGTGTTAGGTCCCACAGGAATGGAGTCACAAGTAGTTGTGAGCTGTCTGATATGGCTGCAGGGGACTGAATTTGGGTATTTTATTTATTTTTAAACAAGAACAGCAAGTGTTCTTAGTCTCTGAGCCATCTCTCTGGCCCTTAGGGCCTCTTTTATTCTGACATGGACCTGAATCCCAGCCTGTAAAATTTTAGACATAGCCAAGTTGCTAACATATAACATAGCTTTGTTTTTAACTTGTTTAATATTAAAAACAAAATCAAGTGAGATGTATAATCATTGTTTCTATTTCACTGTAGAAGCACTTATATATTTTTTGTTGTTGTTTAACTTCAGAATGGGCTATGCGACTTAAGACTGGAGGGACATTGTTACAGCAAGATATTTTTCAGGTAAAAATATCAAATGAGATACAACTGGTAAGAGTCACAAGAGAGATTTCATATTTTCTTCATTGAAATAGACTGGGTATTTCATGTAAATTTCATCAAAATCCTTCAAAATAAAGAAGTATTAGAGACAAGTAGCCTATATTCATAGTCTAGAAAGATGTTATAGTTTGAAACTTGAGTCCCTATAAACACATATTCCTACTTTATAGATATTGGGCTTTTAAAATAATTTCATAAAAGCACAGGAAGCCTTTCAGAATTAGAGCAGATAGTATAAGATTCTTGCAATAGTATTTTCCATTCACATTGAGTGAAGTACATGTAATTAAAAGGGGAAACCCATCATCCTTATCATGTTCTTGTTTTTAGATGAATGGAGTATACTGGTAAACTTGAAAAAACTAATATCTTTTTATTTTCTTTCAATCAACAGTCAGATAGCTACAGTGGAAAGGAGCTCTCCAAGCCACCTGGAGAAATCTTCAAAGAACCTTCATGTAGTCTGACACACATAGGTATCCAAAAGAGAGGAGACATTTGTGATCGTCTTCAGTATGGACAAGCCTTTCCTACTTGGCCAGGGGAAACCTCTTCTGCAGACAAGTTAAGTCCTGAGTTAAGCCAGTACGGAAAAGACACCAGTCTGAATGCAAGTGCTGTTTACCAGACAACATCCACACAAGCCAATTTCCTCAAATCTAGTGAATTTCAGCAAGCCTTTGATAGTCATTCATACCTTCAGGCATCTGGGAGAACTCACAGTGAAGACAAACTCTTTAAATGGGTACAGTGTGGTGATGCTTTTAATCCTGCTATGAGCCATGCTGGGAATTGTCAAACATGCGCTGAAAAGAGACCCTATGAATGTAAAGAATGTGGGAAAAGTTTTAAATATTCTGCCAACCTTAATATTCATATGCGTGCCCACACTGGGGAAAAACCTTACCAATGTAAGGAATGTGGGAAAGCCTTTTCTAGGTGTTACCCACTAACTCAGCACTTAAAAACTCACACTGAAGAGAAGCCCTTTGAATGTAAGGTTTGTGGAAAATGCTTTAGAAATTCCTCATGCCTTAATGATCACTTTCGGGTTCACACTGGAATAAAGCCCTATAAATGTAAGGACTGTGGCAAAGCCTTCACAGGGCGCTCTGGCCTTAGTAAGCATTTACCAACACATACCGGAGAGAAGCCTTATAGTTGTAAGGAATGTGGGAAAGCCTTCACTTCAACCTCAGGCCTTATTAAACATATGAAAAGTCACATGGGGGAGAGACCCTTTGAATGTGATCATTGTGGCAAAGCTTTTGCTTCTTCCTCAACCCTTATTACACATTTGAGAACACACACTGGAGAGAAGCCCTTTGAGTGTAAAGTATGTGGGAAAGCGTTTACATGTTCTTCTTATCTTCGCATTCACATGCGGACTCACACTGGAGAGAAGCCCTATGCTTGTAAGGAATGTGGCAGAGCCTTCACTGAGCGCACAAGCCTTACTAAACATTTACGAACACACACTGGAGAAAATCCCTTTGAGTGCAATGTGTGTGGAAAAGCATTTGCGTGTTCTTCCTACCTTCATAATCACATACGAACTCACACTGGAGAGAAACCTTATGTATGTAAGGAATGTGGGAAAGCCTTCACTGTTTCTTCACATCTAAGTAAACATGTAAGAATTCACACAGGAGAGAAACCCCATAAGTGTGAGGAATGTGGGAAAGCATTCACTGTGCGCTCTGGTCTCACAAAACATATACGAACTCACACTGGGGAGAAGCCCTATAATTGTAAAGAATGTGGGAAAGCCTTTACTACCTCTTCAGGCCTCCTTGAACATATGAGAAGTCACACAGGAGAGAAACCATATGAATGTGACCAGTGTGGGAAAGCCTTTGCTTCTTCCTCCTATCTTATTGCACATCTGAGAATTCATACTGGAGAGAAGCCCTTTGAGTGCAATGTGTGTGGGAAAGCTTTTACATGTTCCTCTTACCTTCACATTCACATGCGGACACACACGGGAGAGAAACCTTATGAATGTAAGGAGTGTGGGAAAGCTTTTGCTGTTTACTCACATCTAAGTAAACACGTAAGAATTCACAGCGGAGAGAAAGCCTATAAATGTAGAAGTTATGGAATAGCTTTCAATAGTTCTCATCTTACAGAACATATAAAAACCCTTGAGATAAATTCTTTGGTTGGAAGGAATGAAGAGACTGCTTTAGGAAGTTCTATTGCTTTAGCAGTGCATTCAAATTCACAGTGGCAAGAAAGCTTGTCAGCATAAGCCATTTGTAAAGTGATTATATACTAGTTAACTTCAAAGATGGGAAAGAACTCATGCTGCAAAGATGCCTAATGGGAAGACATAAGAATGCTCAAAATCCAGTTCACATGAACTCACTCTGAAGCTGTACAATGTCGGAAACATGGAAAGCCTTCATGGTTTCATGGGCTTTTTATAAGTATGGGAGAGAAACTCTTGATATGCAATGTGGAAAATTGTATTTCTGCTTAGTGCTCTAATTACCTAGAGTACCACACTGGAGGACTTTGTGAAAGTAAGAACTGCTGGAAAGTAATTATATTAGTTATCAATATTCAGTAAACATGAAGTGATCCACATTTGGGCAAATGTGTATAAAATATGGAGATTGTTTCTATGTCTTAAGATCTTGTATACTAGCAGAAACTTGGCTTTCTTGATAGTTTTATACATTTGTTTTGACCACTTTTTACATTTTCAATACTTGAGATATTTTAATATTTGCACTTAGTGACTTTTCAGTCTTAAAATCGATTTAAGATGTACAAAATTCTGTGGAACATATGTATATGAAACAATTATTAGATTACTTAAAATGTGATACAGTAATTTGGTTTTGGTATGATGCAGCACTTTTTACCATCTTAGAAAATTCAGGTGAAGAACATTATTAACTATATTCATCAACTGCACTCTTAAGTTGCTTATCTTGTAATGGAAAATTTATAACCTTTAACAATAACTCATAAACATTAACTCTTAGCACTTGGTAACCACAATCACATTTTTTTACTTCTGTTTACTGTATCCCTTTCCTCTTTTAAAGACATGGTCTCACTATGTAGTTCTGAGTGTCCTTGAACTCACTATGTAGACCAGCCTGACCTTGAACTCACAGAGATGTTCTGTCTCCCAAGTGCTGGGATTAAATGAGTACACCACCTTGCCCAGCTATACTCCATATTTTAATATGGTTATGCATTTTTAATTTTTGTGTCTGGCTTATTTTCGCAACACAATGTTTTCTAGTTTTATCTCTGTTGTCTTGCATGACAGAATTTACTTTAAAAAACAAAAAGGGTAAATTCTACTTGTTTTTTGAGACAGGGGTTCTCTGTGTAACAGCCCCAGCTGTCCTCAGACTAGATCTGTAGACCAGGCTGGCCTTGAGCTCACAGATATCCACCTGCCTCTGCCTCCCAAGTGCTGGGATTAAAGGCATGCACCACTACTGCCTGGCTGATATTCTGCTTTTTATGCACACTCAGAATATTTGTATATATGTGCATTTGTGTTGTGTGTTTGCATGCATCTCTGTTTATGAATGTGGGCTCTATAATGTGTATGTAGAGGTCAGAGAAGAACATTGGGTTTCATCCTTGACTTGTACCTTAAGACAGAGTAGATTTCTCATCTCCCCAGCCCCTATGGAAGTTTCTTTTCACAAAGGAACCCTTATGTTGTTTCCATACTGTATTGTTGGAAATAAATTGAACTGCTACATTGAACATAGGTTGCAAATAACCCTATAAGCATTCCTTGAGTGTATGCCCATAATTAGTTTGTTGGATATTTTAGTTGGCATATTTATAGTTTTATGTGGAGCTTTGATACTGCTTTCCAGATAGCTCTACCAATTTTTATTCCATTCAAAATGACAGTATATGCATGACAGTATATTATTAGGTGCCTTTTGTTTCTCTATATTGGCTCAAACTTGCAGTATTATGATGAATATAAGTACCAAGCAGAAATATCGTTGTTCTTGATCTTACAGGAAAAGCTCTGGACTTTTCATTGAGTGTGATGATAGTAACTGGCCTGCCATACAGATGTAGTCAATGATAAATTAGGTGCATTCATTTCTATATTAAATTTGTTGTATCATGAAAGAGTGTGACTTTTTAAGTGCCTTTTATTTTTGTAACTTTTTCTATGGTGATTTATTTATTCTTTTATGTGATGTATGACACCTGATTATTGCATATGTTGAATAAATGTTGCATTTATGTGTGAATCAAAACTACAGTGCATGATCCTTTTATGTAGGTGCTTCAAATGTGATAATTAAATTCGTCTATCAAGCTGGGCGTTGGTCGCACACGCCTTTAATCCCAGCTCTTGAGAGGCAGAGGCAGGGGGATCTCTGTGAGTTCCAGGGCAGCCTGGTCTACAAGAGCTAGTTCCAGGACAGGCTCCAAAGCCACAGAGAAACCCTGTCTCAAAAAACCAAAAGAAAAAAGAAAAAAAAAATTCGTCTATCAAAAGACAGATATGGACTGACAAGATGTCTTACTAGTTAAAGGCACTTAGCATCAAGCCTGATAACTTGAGTTTAATTTCCACAAAACACATAATAGAAGGAAAACACTGACTCCTGCACATTATCCTCTGCCCTTCACATTAATGACACACTTGAGCATACACATACCCAAAATAAATAAATGTAAAAATAAAATATACAAGGAATCCACAGGCTACTCTGGCCAGGGAAGCAGGTAGGTAGGGTTTATCTCTGCTTCTCCAAATTAGAAAATAATGGAACTAACAGACATTATTACTTAAGTGAACATAGCAGATATCTACAGAACATTTCACCCAAATACAAAAGAATATACCTTTTCAGCACTCCAAAACTGACGATACACTCATCCACAAAGCAAGTCTCAACAGAGAAAACAATTGAAATGCCTCCTATAGCTTATCAGACCACTCTAGGGGGAAATGCTGACCATGCCTGCTTGAGGGCTGGCACAGGTGGCGTGGACCATGCACACTTGGGCATGGTCAGAGTGATGTAGCAAGGCTTTAAAGATGAGGGACGCAGGTATGCGGCTCTCTGTTCCCTCTCTTGACTGGCTGTACAGGACTGGCTTTGTCGCTTGAGTACTTCCTAATAAACTATCTGTTTTTCAATCTAGTTCTGACTCTATAGGATCCGCATAAAAGCGTTCCACTTTAGCTGGTGTCAGAGGAGTTTTGATTCTGAATCTATGGGTGGGTCATGGACTTTGGCAGGATTTATTCCCCTGCCGCATTGGCGCCCAGGTAACATTTCATCTTAGCTTGTGGCACTAACCTCCACAGAGTGTTTCTGGCACCGTTGGTGCTGAGAGCAGCCCACGTGGCCGACTGCCTGCTAGTTGGTGCAGCACTAGTGCCTGCCTGCCCCGGCTGCCTAAGGGTTTCATTCCTCCGAGCCCATTCCAGCTGGGCCTAAGAACCTGTTTGGCACTCTCCACCATTTGGCCTGATTGCGGTTTCTACCCTGTGGTTTCTGTGACTTGGGACTGAGACAAGCCCGGCCACGTGTGCCTTCTGCGGGTTTCCTCCATTTTTAGAAACCCGAGGCTCCCCCCTTCCGTGTTAGCCTTCATAGCAACCATACTCTCTGCCCAGCGCACAGCCGAGTGGCACCAGATACCACTCAGCCTCTCCGGGAGAGTTTCTTTTTCTCTGCAGGCCTCCAAGCCCGCTGCCAAATGCTGCCACCGCTCACAAAAGAGATGCAGTTTCCGCTCAGCTGAGCCTCGTCGTAGTGAGTCATCCACTGGTACCCGGAACCTGGCTACAGCCCTGCATGTTATCCATATCTTTTTCTGCTAACAGCCAATCCCTTCCATCTGTTCTAACTTGGTTCGGGAAACGTTTAGATATTTTTCAGGTAGTCTTGAGATGGACTTCACCTCCAGTTCCCACAGCTAGGCTGAGGGACTATCCTTCCATGTGGGATGGGCTCCCAAAGTCCATTCCTATGCTAGGGTCTCTCCCTGATTTCGAGTTGTACTACAGAGCTATAGTAATATAAACTGTGTGGTATTGTCACAATATCAGACATGTTGATTAATGGAATTGACTCAGGCATAAATCCAGACACCAATGGACACTTGGTTTTTTTTTTTTTTTAATAAAGTAGCCAGAATTACACACTATAAAATGTCAGTATCTTCTCCAAGTTGTGCTAGTCATAGTGGATGTCTACATGTAGAAGAATTCAAATAGATCCACACATCACCCTGCACAAAACTCAACTCCAAAAGAATCAAAGACATAAAACCAGATACAAGGATTCTGATATCAGAGAAGGTGGAGAATAGTCTTTACCTCATTGGCACAGGAAAAGACTTTCTGAACAGAACATCCTTAACACAGACACTAAGATCAGCAATAAACTGGACCTCATGAAGCTGAAAGGCTTCTGCATGGCAAAGGACACCATCATTTGGACAAAGTGACAGCATATAGAATGGGAAAAGACCTTTATCAACTACATATCTGATAGAGGACTAATATACAAAGTATATAAAGAATTCATGAAATGACAGACTGCAACTGCACAGAGAGGACCAAGAGATGAGTGACCAGCCTCCCCGCTGGACTGCCCATTCTCTAGGGCCCGGGGGCAAAACCCGGCTCTTCCCCCACCTGCCTCAGCCACACTAGCAGGTTAGTGAGGGGGCCACCTGCAGGCAGCCTGCTCTAGCACCACCCCATTGGAACCTGTAATCCCGCTTCCCCCCGAAATTCTCCCATCTCTGGAGACCTCAGTGGCTCCCCGAGGCACAGACAGTGACTGTACAGAGAGGATCAAGAGTGGGTCCCTGAGACACAGACTGCAATTGCAACAGTTGGTTCAAGAGAGGAACCCTGAGAGACACCAACTGTAGGAAGAGATGGGTAGGCACCAATGCAAGAATACATTCAACAGCCTAAAGTGCAATATGGCAACAGCAGAATGTAGTGGTCCTATAACAGGAAGAACTGAACATCCTGACCCAAAAGAAGCAGAAGAAAATGACCTTAAATACAACTTTATGAGGATGATAGAGACCCTTAAAGAGGAAATGAAAAATTCCTTTAAAGTAATGGAGGAAAAGACAAACAAAAAAATTGGAAGAAATCAACATATTTCTTAAAGACAGCAAAGAAAACCAAGAAAAAACAGATGAAAGAAACAGCTCAAACAGTTTAAGACTTGAAAATTGAAGTAGAGGCAGTAAAGAAAACATAAACCAAGGGAATTCTGGAAATGGAAAATCTGGGTAAACAATCAGGAATGAGAGATGTAAGCATAACTGACAGAATGTAAGAGATCAAAGAGAGAATCTCAGGAGTTGAAGATATGATAGAGGAAATAATTCATTAGTCAAAGAAAATGTTAAAACCAACAAATTCTTAACACAAAACATCCAGGAAATCTAGGACACCATGAAAAGACCAACTCTAAGAATAATAGGGATAGAAGAAGGAGTAGAAGCCCAGCTCAAAAAATATATTCAGCAAAATAATAGAAGAAAACTTTCCCAGCCTAAAGAAGGATATGCTGATGAAGGTGCAAGAAGCTTACAGAACACCAAACAGACTGGACCCCCCCAAACCCTCACCATATAATAACCAAAACAGTATACATACAGAATAATGAAAGAATAAGAGCTGCGAAAGAAGTTAATAAATGTGATTATAAAATATCGAATACTTCCAAGCTTTATGCATAGTTTTGAAAAAATATTTGCAAAATCAGAATGCTAGATAGTGAAACCTGCTTGATCTTTAATTCTACTAATTCTGTCTAGACACCAAAATTCATTTATCAGAGCTTTGTTGCTTTGATGACTAGCTTCAAAAGCCAAAACACTGAATTGAAAATCAAAGTCCAAATCCAAGATGTTTGTTTAAAAAACAACAAACATGCTACTTTATGAATTAATTAAATTTAATATGCATTTCCTGAAAAAAAGAACTGCAAAGAAAAAAGGCCAGGTAACATATAAAGGCAGACCTATTGGAATTACACCTGAATTCTCAATGGAAACTCTGAAAGCCACAAGATCCTGGACAGATGTGCTTCAGACACTAAGAGACCACAGATGCCACCACAGACTAATATACCCACAAAGCTTTCAAACATCATAGATGGAGAAAACAAGATATTCCATGACAAAACCAAATTTAAACATAAATCCATCCTTACAGATAGTACTATAAGGAAAACTCCAACCCAAGGAAGTTAGCTGCACCCACAAAAACACAGGCAACAGATAACCTTATGCCAGCAAACCCTAAAGAAGGGAAACATGCTACCACTGAAAAATAACAGTAATCAACAATCACTGGTGATTGAATATCTCTTAGTATCAATGGACTCAATTCACCTATAAAAAGACACAGGCTAACAGAGTGGATAGAAAAACAGGATCCATCCTTCTGCTGCATACAAGAAATACACCACAAACAAAATGACAGACATTACCTCACAGTAAAGGGTTCTGAATAGATTTTCCAATCAAATGCATCTAAGAAATTAGTAGGTATAGCTATCTTAATATCTAACAACATAGACTTGAAACTAAAATCACTCAAAAGAGATGGAGAAGGTCAATTCATACTCATCACAGGAAAAGTACATCAAGATGAAGTCTCAATTATGAACATCTATGCCCCAGATACAAGAGCACCAAAATATGTAAAAGAAACATTACTAAACTTTAAATCACACATCAAACCCCACACAATATAGTAGGAGACTTCAACACCACACTCTCACCAATGGACAGGTCTTTCAGACATAAAGTTAACAATGAAATAAGAGAACTAAGAGATGCCATGACTTAAATGCACTTAACAGCCATCTATAGAACATTTCATCAACAAAGGAGAGATTATACCTGTTCCCAGCACCCCATGGACCCTTCTCTAAAATCTATCACATACCTAGTAACAAAGCAAACCTCAACAGATACAAAAAAGTTGGAATAACCCCCTTTATCTTATCAGATCCCCATGGCTTAAAGTCGGAATTCAATTACAACACTAATTGCAGAAAGGCTACAAACTCATGGAAATTGAACAATGATCACTTGAATCACCCCTGGGTAAAGACTTCCTGGAATTCAACAAAAATAAAAGTACAACATACCCAAACCTATGGGACACTATAAAAGTGGTGCTAAGAGGAAAGTTCATAGCAACAAGTGCTTGCACAAAGAAAGCGGAGAAATAGACAAACCCTTACTCAAACTAACCAAA